GATATTCTCGTTTTCGATGATGATGATAGTGAAAAGGATTTTTATGGTTTTGAAAGTGATTAAAGTCTAATTTCATGATAGGCAACGTTTCCCTTGAATCTGTGTTTTTTGTTGTTTCTGCTTTATTTTGTATTATGTTTGATTACTTGCAGTTCATTCATTTATTCATTATTGAAATTCACATATCATGTTCAAAATAGCTTGCCGTTTGTTAATTTTCCTTAATAAAAATATGTTTGGTAATTGCATTCAATGATTGTTTATTTGGCTTTTACAAAACAAGAGAACTAAAAGAAACCACATTTTAAGTACTGTGGTACCACGCTATCGCACGGACTATTGAAACTTTTTTTCCTTGTGTGTGGCCTTCTAAATAAGGGTGCGTCTTATATGCCGTCAAATATGGTAATTATATTTAATCTCAGTCATATTACCTTAAAAATAGCATGTGAGAAACTCCACAATGATATTTTTCATTTTCACATACACATACCAAAGTTAAATAAGTAAATAAATAACAAGATGCAATTTCAGATTTATCATCGAAACGTTACAGCTAATCACTTAATCAGAGAGTAGGAAGTTTGCTTTCAACCTAATAAATTAAACAAATAAAGTAGTGATAAAATATACAAAGAGACATATTCGACACATTAAAATTCAGATCTGAATACTCCATTTATTATAATTTAAATTATAAATACACGGTTTAGTAATAAAAAAGCACAAGTCCCTTTTGATTATGTGCGCTTTCATCGCTGTGGGTATTTGTCACGTGCGCTTTCGTCCAGTGGGCTTTTGTCTGGGAACCAGTGGATATATATATATATATATATTTATAAACTTTTGGGTGCGGCTGATTGCAACCAAAGGGGAGGCGCATATCTACATGGCAGATCTTATAGCAATCCTATACAAAATTTCAACGTTCCGAGGTTACTCGTTTTTGAATTTTGCGAGATACATACTCATGAAAAAATCTCTTCCGAATCCATTTTTTAAATCAGTTTTATAGTTCGTTTGGGGGAGTCCTTTATTTTGTCCTTAAATACAGATGTCATGCAAAAACATCAATAAATTGCATTCAAAAGCGGTCAAAATGTATATTTTCGTTGAAATATGGTTTTTTCGTGATTAAAAAAGACATAATATGTTTGTTGTATTGAACATTTAAATCATATTTAATGTTATAATGTTTAAATTATTATTTAATGTCAATGTTTCAGCTTCAGATATTGGCAATCCACAGCTTCCCCAACCCGAAATTAAATCCTAGCTACAGTCATGTAAGAATGAAGATTTAAAAAGTGACACTAGTAGTAACTGAAGAAATTCAGGTATACAACTAAAGCAGCAGATGTCAGGTTTAAATTAAAGCGCTAATTACAGTTTTTAATAGTCATAAGGAAAGTAAAGAAAATGTATGATAATAGATTCCTTAAAATTATTCATTATCTTGAATCCCAAGATCCCAATTTTATAAAAATTGTATGGTCTACACATGGAAAAATACAATAAATGCATAAATGTTTTTGTGAAAAACTTAGCAAAGATTCAGTGTAAATCAAAACAAATTAAATACAACAAATTTATTTCAGGCTTCTTGCAGTATTACAGGCCTCTTGCAATTTTACACAATATGATGGCACTATATACAACTAATATATACAGATTAGATAAGCTACATGTGTAAAATCAGCATTCATAGCAAATGAATTCTCAAAAATTGTAAATTATGAATAAAAGGTTGCATGCTCTCTAGTACTGATAAGCACTTTTTTATTTAAAATACATGTGAGGTCACTCATAAGTAAAAAATATATTCACAATATATTAATGTCTACTTAAAACACTGGACAATGTGTCATACGCAAAACTGTTAATCAAGTACACTTATGTAGATGGAAATTACTATAAATGTTTCACAAAAAGACATGAAATTTTATATACAGCAATAAGTGAACAAACAGCATTTTAAATTCAAGAAAATAAATTCAGTGTACAATTAATCCTTTGTTTAAATTATTCATTAATAAAATTATTTATACCAATTTATAAATTCATAAAACAGTACAGAAATGCACTTAACATAAGTTACATAAAACATTAATAACAGATACATAAATATTTACAGCAATGAATAAAACATCATGCATAATATGAAACTTAAGTATGAAAACTAATATACATGACTACAGATTTAGAATATATGGGGGGAAATTTGAAATTCAGTCAATACTATATAAAGAAAAATGAATACACTTCATTTTCAAAGATCTAAGAAACCCAAATTCAAATTTTTACAGCAAAAAATAATTATATGATGTATTTATTAACATAAATTATTTTACATTATCCATTAAATAAAAGATTAATGATTGATAAAAATTTTGAAGTTTTATGAATTATACGATTTTAAATTTATACAAGATTTAAGTTCTGTTGGTACATTAAAATTATAAATGAGAAATTTTGCGTGAATGTAAAATAAAATCTTTTTAAAGCACAGTTTTTATTTATCATCTTAGCAAACACAATTTAACTAAAATAACAACATCCCAATACATGAAATTTCATACACAAATTATTAACTAAAATTGTTACATTATTCAAAACTGTAAATACATTACATATTAATTCCAGAATGTTATACAGAACAGTCATTAATTATTAGAATAGACTTTTTAGAGTTAAACAATGTTTAAAAAATGCTAGGTCATCTATCTCAACACAATTATTCATATAAATTATTTTCATGCATATCATACTGTAACTTATATTTGCAAAACAAAGCAGCACACAATAAAAGAGCTGCATTATGCTCTTCTAATCCTGTACTGAGATTAATGCAAGATTATATGACTGGAATATTTAACTGGTTGGGCAGTTTTTCATACCTGAATTTATTTTATTAGACATCCAAGCCTACATTTTGTTTACAATTATTCAGATTATATACACTTTTGTTTATAATCTCCTACCATTATGGCAAAAAACCTAATCTCAGAACATTCATAGCTCTTGGGCTGGATGTACGTAACAAGAAGGTTAGCCTCGAAAAGTCCTCTACAAAAAGCATCTTTCCTATGAAAGATAGCCCCCCCCACGCTTTGCTACAATTATACTTTAAGAAACCTACTAATCTAATGCTGCCATTCTCTTTCAGTATTTAATAACAAAATCATATTTCAGAAATCAACCTTGAAATATTAAAATCTACAAACCACCATCATCTTTTAAATTCAATTGAATTAACATAGCATGCCTTAAGAGTAAATCATGAATAACTAGAAACACACAACAAATGTTTGAAGTCTGCAAATTTCTTCACAAAAGTCTTTTTATGTTGATTAAGCAGTTACAGAAATATATCTTAGAAAAGCCTTGAACTTTGAAAAGAGGGGTAAAAAAGATGCATGTAATATGAAGCTCAATTTTTACGAGATAAAAGGATATCTTCTATAATGCATTAACCTGACAAATAAAATATTTATCTTGACAAAAACAAGGCTTCATACTTAAATATTTAATAAAATATTTAAGTATGAAGCCTTGTTTTTGTCAAGATCAGAAATATATACAAATTCATTTTTAGATAGAAAAATTGAATATTTCAATGCTGTAATCTAGATATAAATTCTTTTTTGCACTGGCTATGACATTTTACCATAAGGCAATTTACAGAAGGTTAACACACACAATTTTTAACAGCATTGCCAATATCTTAAATATATTCTTTATGCTTAAAATCTGGATTAAGGCAAGGCACACAAAGCTATTTGTTTATTTCTATTCCAATTTTTATTCAGGACAGCCAGGGAGATACAATATAAGGATTTCACCTTCCACTGTAAACTTCTCAAGAGATTTACATAAAGAAAAAAATGTAAGCAACTGATATTTTTACACAGTATACGAATGGTAGAGCCATATCAAATAAGGTAATCTGGGATAAAATATTAGAAGATGCAAAATTATAATAAATGAAATACCAATTGGAAAGTGTTAAAATAATTAGGGGTATAACTTTTTTTGAGATTTAATTAAAGTCTGTGAGTACAGCTTTTAAAAACAGCTATACTTTACCTAGGATTTGAATATAAGTGATGTATTAGCTGACCCTTGCTACTACCATTAATACTCATGACTGTATGTTTAAAAATTCAAATTAAATGCCATAATTAATACCTAAAAGACACTCCTTTTTTCCTCAGATTATTTTAAAATAATCAAAGGGTACATAATGACAGAATGTTGCCAGTTATAATTAAACTATACCTATACTTAAGACACAATAACACGCCGAATAAATACTAATTCAGAAGTCAAACAACAAAAATCAGCGTTATATTTACAAAATTTTCACAGGACTAGTTTCGATGGTTTTACCGAACCACCATCAAAAAATATCAGTTGCTTACAATCAAAAAAATGTAAGCAACTGATATTTTTACAAACACAGTATATGAATGGTAGAGCCATATCAAATAAGGTAATCTGGGATAAAATATTAGAAGATGCAAAATTATAATAAATGAAATACCAATTGGAAAGTTTTGCAGCTGAAGATGGTGGTTCGGTAAAACCATCGAAACTAGTCCTGTGAAAATTTTGTAAATATAACGCTGATTTTTGTTGTTTGACTTCTGAATTATACCTATACTTGATGAAGAGTTTATGGAGATGCTCAGGAGACATAATTAAGAGGGCATGTCATGATATAATTAAGAACTTTTGAGTTCTTCACTTTATCAGTAATTGTCTTTAACCTTTTTCTTCAAAACTAATGCGAGCTTCCACTTGCCTTCAGAAAAGAACTAAAACTCAAATATGAATCCCTTTATCATCTTTTAGAGAGATAACTAAAATCAGTAACACTACCACTAATGATGAAACATTAAATGTTGTTAACAAAAACAACACCTGTTTTCTTTATTTACAAATGTGTTATACATACTGTATTGTAATTTAATGTCTCTTAGTGATGTGAAACACCAAACTATTACCTTTTCATACTAATAAATAAAACCAATCATGACTACAGTGCTTTCAAACTTTTAAGCAAATATGCATTAAGCGCTTGCAAAAAGAATCTGCTTTCCAGTTAACGAACCTCAGTATCTATTAAATGGATTCTTGGTGAAATTATTTGATCCTAAAACTTATGATGCTGCTCCATGCAGTATAAATAGCAATATAAGCAATACACAATTATTTCTAAACTTTTATTTTTTTATTTCAAATTGTATATTAATGGCACTTAATTAGTGGTAATTATCTACTAATTATCTAATTTAATTAGATAATTAGTGGAGGCTGACTGCTAATCCAAAACCGAGGACATAGGTTTGATTTCTACATTATGCTTGTCTGTATGCAGGGCTCCCAAGTTTTTTTTTTTTTTTTTTTTAAATTGTCATCTGGGTTAATTTTTTTTCCCCTTAATAAATATCTATCTGGATTTTTCAGTAATTTTTAATCTTAAGTCAAAATTTATTTTATTTCTTGTAAATGCAGTAAAATTAAATAACAGTTTACAATTTCCTTAATATTCTATTCTAGCAAGACTCATAATAATCTGTATCATTTCAAAGGTATTCAATAATATAATTTGTAACTTTGAATAATATGAATAAAATATTACAAATGTAAAAAGATTTCAGAGATTTTACACTATAATTTTTATTCATACTATAAATTTGTTACATTGAGCAATAAGAAGTCATCTTTTGTATAAAGTCTTGGTGACCATTCATGGGGTTATTGCATTATTTGGTGTGATTTTTACATTTATGCATGTGCTGTACACAATGATACAATAATTTTAAAATGAAGTGACTATTATGTTAATGGATTATGCTTTATTTTTTTATTTTATAGAACATTTTTAAATAATACAACTACTAATTAGCCATACCCACAATGTCTGAAACTTGTTCCCTAAACAGAAAGATTAATAAATAGTGCTAGACTCAAAATTTTAGATATGAATGATAAGAAGATCTGGAATTAAAGACATACCTTTACCATTACTGGTTGAAAGAAAACAGTAATGGTAAAGGTATGTCTTACTGTATCTGTTGTAAAATGAATAGCATACAAAAATATAGTTAAACATACAAAAGCGCAAATATTGCTACGACAACTGACAAGTTCAAAGTTAGACATATTCTTCACAAAGTGTAAACCTATGGAGAAAGAAGAAACAAGCAAATGTGGAGTTAACAACTGCTACACTAATTTCTAAACATAATTATTCCATCTGTGCAATGTGATGCAGGCAGATCTTTTGCCTGGAATTGAACCCATGTTGAACTATCAGTGTTCAATGATTTTACTACTTGGCCCCTGTTGGGCATCCTGTGGAAATGTAATCAAAATTATAATGGAAAAATTGGATGTGTTATTCTTTTCAGTCTCAATCAAAAATGAATAAAACGGATACTGGAGAGAATATCTGCAATACTAATGATACCAAAAAACGAAGTGTATGTACTGTAGGAGAATAAGCTGCCTGAACAATGAAGTTCAATCTGAGGACTTCAGATAATATTAACTTCATTCAATGTTTTTAATTGAGAATAAAAATATTCTTAGTTTTTTCATAAAAGATGAAGTCAAGCTAGTTCAGACTCATCTAAGCAATGCAATAAATCATAAACCTCTGAATAATATATATTTCAGACACCATTGTTTGGCTTTATTAAATTCAACATTACTTGTGACAGTTAAAACAGGTTTAAAAATCACTGTTTAATAAAATTTCTTGTTGAACTCAGTATGCTAATCAGGAAGAGATTTTCTCTAAATGATAATGAAATTGTTGCTAGTCTCTGTTCTTGATCCAGTAGTGGGACATGATCATGCCAAATCGCCATACTGAATTCTGCATTAAGCAATGCAGTTCCCAGGCTTGTTTCTCAAGACAAACTAGACCTTCATGATAAATGGAGATCTCTTTGTTTAAATCAAGCTTCAGATCTCTCTTGCAAAACAATCTCCAAGTTTTGGTATTTGCTATATAATGTAAAAGGTGCTTTTAATAGTTCTAAATATGAGATTTTATCTATCTATTTTAACTCACTCTTCATAGAAAGAAATATCCTCCCAAGTTAACCATATAAAAACAAAAGTCATGAACTCGCTTTAATCGAGAGCTGTGAAAAACCACTTTAGGCAAAACAAGCAATAAATAGATATCTATTTAAAATTGCTATATATGAAAACCTAAATTAAAATTGGCTTTTACCTGTTTTAATTTAGGTTTCCAACTTTCTTCTTCACATCTTTAAGTTTTATCTTACTTGTGTCGCTATATTATAGAAAAGTAAAACTTTTCTCAAGAGGAAGTAGGGTAGACATTTATATGAATGACTCCACATATATACAAAAAATATTAAGCAGGGGCCAATATAAGCTTTTTAAAAACATCAACAAACTATAGGAAGAAATCCATTTATTTATAGCATTGAATTTACAAACATTAACATAACTAATAATTAAATGCAAAATTTATGGGGGAGGGAATCTTGTAAGTGACTAGCATGTTGATACATGTTAAATTGAAAACATTTTGGCAACAACGCTTTTCATAATAAATAAATTAATGGACCTTCTTGCAGCATAAGAATGAGTACAATCATTTACTGAACTGAGATGTGAATTCTTCTTCTTAAACAGTATGGGTTTAGATTACAAATCTGAGCTTCTTGCCTACTTTGTTGAATTCTATAACTATTGGTTAGTCATAATTTCAGCATGACTATATATAACATCTTCAGTACACTGCTAATATCGTTTCAAACAGACTATAAAAACTTACAATAATTTTTTAAAGTAATATTTATCATTATGTCTGGAAAGAGAAGCATATTTATTTAAACATATATATATATATATATATAAGTTTATTACAAATGAAAGTTTTTTGAAACAATTTAGATTCATATAATTTATTGATAAAATAATTTTGTATAAAAGTTTAGTAATAATAATAAAATTCTAGAGCTTAAGAAAATGGCATTTTGCATATTAGAATGAGTATGAATAGTTGAATTTGTTCTAAGATAGTGGTTCTCAACCTATTTTGCCTTATGCACCTCTTTCATCACTGCTAGAAGATCATTCCTCCCCTTTACTTTCCAAAACTCGAAAAATACATATACACATACTTAGATTATTTTTTAATGTGTTTTATAAATTAGAAAACAAGTATAGAAAATATTGACAAACTCAAAATCTTGAACAAAAGTAGTTTTTTATATTTATAACCTATAACTAAATACTTAATAACTGACCGTAATAAGAATAATAAAAAGCTGATTACATTCCCCCCTGGTTCAGAACCCCTGTTTAAATATATTAAAACAAGGTAAATAAAATTGTATAAAGTTACAATTTAAACTATTATTTGATTGAAATTATTAATATATGAAATTCAATAATCAAGAATTAGCATTTATGTTATATAAGCAAATAATACTGCTTAACTTTTAAAAACTTTTATGTTTGAAATTAAATCACACTACTGCAAATCACTTTCTTTCCTTATTTAAAACTTCAAAAATGTATCAAATTATAATAAAATAATGCACAAAATGATCTATTAAATGGTCTCTCATATCAGAGCAATTTTTTTAACATGCAATAAAAAAATTGATTAAAATAAATCTGCCAGTCATTCCATATATTTTGCTCTTTATCCTTTACCTCCTTCCCCTTACAAAAAAAATTACCCACTTTACCATCAAGATGTCAAAAATTACAATTCATTTTTTTGCAGGATGTGAATGCTCATCACTGAAAAAGACTGATTAAACTCCATTTAATGATTTTTGAAAACATTATTTAATATAAGTTATTTTTGCTAAATTGCACATTAAATGAATTCAAAACTATTTTTTATCTTCTTTCTTAGGCTATTATTTTCTCAAATATTATATAATAATTTGTTGAGCTTATAAAATGTGGTTTTTAACCATTTACAAGAGATATGGGAATAAATAGCATAATCATAATTTTTTTACTTATGTAATGGTACTTCAACAGCCAAAATGCCAAAAAGCACATAAACAAGAAAATGCTTTTAGAAGGATAAGAATTGTATGCTTTAGTAGCAAGGAGTTACACAATCAGTGCAACGACTTTTTAATTAATTTTCAGAACAATTATTAATGCAAAAGAATTTTCTTTTGCCTTTTAATCTGAATTTGTAATATTTACAAACACAAAGCTATAAATATGTAATACTATCTCAAATAACATTCAAGTAAAAAATGAAGTACGTAAAACTTTAAAAACAAAATAAAAATTAAAAAAAAAAATAGAAAATAGTATATTTTCCTAATGCATATACTGAAGAAAACTAGCTGCAACAAATAAAAAAGGTGAATAAATGCCATTTGGTATAGAAGGGAAAATAATAATTTACTACAATGCATATATATTTTAAATCTAAAAATTTAAGTTATTTTTGCTAAATTGCTTCACAGGTGCAGAAGACATTAATAAAAAAATCCACCTAAGATTTCTAGTTCTTATCTTTTACATTTAAAGTATAATTTTGAACAATTTTCTTTTTACCTGAGTAATGAAAAGCAATGTGCTACTGGATATAAACAAATAGTCACATTAATAGCATAACATAGTCATTCAACAAGCACAAACATTTCCTGTTTCATTTAACTTAGATTTAACATAGTATTATCTTGCATGTAATAAAGATATTAAGATCTGATTGAAGGTGACACATAGCCACATTTAAGACAACAGTTTTACATTATGTTCATGCAAAAAGCAACATTTTTTCTTCACACTTTGAAAACAATATATGATAAAAATTTTTATTTTGTGAAACAGTCACCTTAAAACCTTTCTGAATCCCATCTTATATCAAATAAAATTTATAAAATAACATAATAAAATGTACGGTCAAATCCTCTTTAGGTTTGTAAAATTTAAATGTACCAGCAAAATGCTTTCAACCAACTAATTCCAGAACAATAGGATTCAAACTGAACCCTATTATTCTTAGCAGGCCTCAAACTGAGGCTTCACTGAATACCGGAAACACAAAAATTTTGTTATAAATAAAAATTAAAAACTGCATGGAATACAGCTTAAATTAAAGAAAACAATAGTTCAAAATTTTTTTTTGCCTACAAAAGGGATACATCTAAAGAAGATTCAAAAGATACAAAAATAGAAACTTCTTAATTTATATAAAAGAATACAATGAAAGTAAAATAAGAAACTCAGGCAGTGTTTCAAATTAGATTCACAACTCAACTATGCATCAAGCATATATAAATAAACTGAAAAATGGCAACTTCAGATAAACTAAGTTGCTAAGAAAAATACTAATTACTTTGGCTTTTTGGTTAGCTATAGCACAAAAAGTATAATTTTTACCTGGAAAAGTTTATAAAAACTACAAACAATAAAACCTTTATGTAACTGTCACACACACACACACACACACCACAAAAAAAAAAAAAAAAAAAAAAAAAAAAAAAAAAAAAAAAAAAAAACTATTGTTTATAAAAAAATGGCAAACATATTGGCTATCCAAATAATAATAAATAAGAGATTACTGTTGCTAACTTTTTTTAACCTGTATTTACATATCCTCAGAAAAAGAAAACTACTTTTAAACTCAATCTGTTACAAAATGTTACAATAATTTGTAACACAATACAGTTTTTATAGTTCATTGCACATCTTGCAGGTCCGAGTGAAAGATTTTTTGTTACTTTCTTAATTATCTGCACCTCCCAATGAGAGTCATGAAATAGTTGGTAACTTTGCAGAGGATGCTTGGGAATTTTTACATTTATTTCAATGATGCATCTAGGGCTGCATATTCATTAAAATTTAAACATTTTTCAAGAAATTCTGTCATTTTTTGGTGTTGTTTTCTTTTAATGTCTACAGTTCTCAGCTAGGAAGGGCAAATTGTGACAGAGAATTGAACAAAAGTGGCATTGTGCCACTATAACAATCACCAAAGAACAGTTGGCACTTCAATGTACATTCCAATGTAATTAATCAAAATAAAAAAGGGCAAATTCCACTGTTCCATTATAACAAAAACAAATGTGTTCAAAAGAAATACTAATAAAAGAATGACCTTGCATTTTAAAAGTGCATTGGGGATGTGGTGCATTGCCTCATCAATACTTTTCCATAGCTTTTTGGTGGGGGTGCAAATAATCAGAATTACCAATTTTTTGAAAAGACTAGCTTTTTAGCTTCTAGTACCTCTTTATATGCCAAATTTACAATTACAGAAGTATTCTACTGCAATGATTAAATTTTTAAAGGCTATTTGACGCATTAACATTATTTTCTGAATGCATGTTTTGTGCATACAGGTTTGCTTAAATTAAAAATTATCTCACCTTTTTTAATTATCCCCAAAACAGGAAAATTTTTACAGTAAAAATTTTATTACTTCCTTTGAAAGCATTTTAAGTTCAGTAACAAGGCAGCTAAATGAACATTAAAACTCTCTATGAATTAGATGCACAATTAATGAAATATATTTGCAGACTTTCATTTGAACATTTCATTTCATGGGGGGTGAAAACTTTATAAATAATGATAGTTATTTTTATCTTCTTAAAAATAACATGAATATAGGATATTAATGGATATACTTTGCATGAAAAAAGGAAAATTAATAAAATAAAATAGCACAGTACACTGGGAATGTATTATTTTAAAAATCTTGGGCTGGTAATGGAAGGAAGACACATCAACTTTTCTTGTTCCTAATGGTCTGCTTTAAAGACTTCCAGACAAATAATAAAAAAAAGCATAAATAATAAAACAATAGCTGAACATTTTTGTAGAAAACAAGATTATTTATCTATTAACTTTGTCCTGGAATCAATGTATGAGACAAATACTGTACAAGATCATAAATAAAATCTTTGCATATACACATGTACACATATACGTATATGTTAACTTACCCATTCATGTATATATATACATGTACATGCATATACACATAAAAGATATATACACATATCACAAATACACATAGGCAATTCTATACAAGTCCAAGGAAGTTAAAATTAACAAACATTAAAGATATTTACAAGATTAACGCGTCCAATATTCTATGTACCATAACAGCACCAAATGTCAGCACATACAGGATGCAACTTAAATTATTTCAAGCACCTTTGCACTTCCATAGCACTGAGAAGACATACCAGCCGAGGTGGCAATCAACACATAGTAGTTCGACCTGGTAAGAAAGAGATGTGCCCATTGGCTATGCTTCCATTTGAAGCACTGCTAATTTTACTCCCCTTACTATCATCAGATGAAGTGACAGACATGCCTTTGCTGCCATCATTGGAATGAACACTATAAGCTCTGTTCTCACCCCTAATAGCCTCTTGGTGGTAGCTGTCCCCTTGGCAATTCACATGAGAAATGTCCCTGGTAGGGGGAAAGAAAGCAATTTCTGATTCATCATCAGAATCCTCTCTAGAGTTTTGTGTGTCCATCCATTGAGTCCTCATGGGTGTGGAGGCTGTGGCAGAATCACAAAGTTCATTTTCTTTGGCGCATGTTTCTTGTCGTTGAGTAAAATAGAAGGACACTTCACGGAATTTATTTTGGTTGATATCTGGGAGAAGCATGTCTATTAATTCTATGAATGTTGGCCTTGCCTTTGGGTTCTTATCCCAGCACAAATCCATTATAGCATACCTATGAAAAATAAAATTCAGTATACTACAAAATCACAACTTCAGATTTATTTTTTATGTCAGGTATACTCAGATATATCAAGTATACTTGACATAAAAATATTACAAGACTGCAATATCGAAAATCCTGAATATTATTATAGAGAGAAAGTCTGATAAAGTTTCAAATAATTCAGACTATTAAATATGATGCTTACACATATATTTTTAAACAATTTTGTTAATGAAGCAAAAAGTATTATTTCTTTCAATCTCTTAAAATTAATTTCTGTTTCACTGTATAATTTCAAAATGTTAAGATTGTTGTTTAACATTTAAAAATAACAATAATAATAATAATTTGCTAGATTTAGTTTGTCTTTCACTTAAGGGGAGTATATTTTTCTCTGCTAACAACTGAAAATTCAATATGATCAGCAAGTGAACTTAACGTAGACAGTGCTTTTTACTTAACCTTTCAAATATTAAATTTAGAATTTGAAGTATGCATATGAAGAGGTGGTGGAGATGAGGAACTGCTAATCAGAAGAAAATGTTTCATGGAATGTAGAGTTTTGTTAAGCTGTCCAGATTTTCAATACATTATCCTAAAATATTTACTAATAGGATCCGTTTTGAGAGGTATTTTCTGATAAAATTTTACATGCATTTTTGTTTAATAAGAATGAATAATATTTAACAATTCGCATAGCATCTAATCTATCAGTATTTAGTGATAGTAATCATTGTGTGTAATATCACCCATATAATTAAATGCACTTTCAACAGGAGCTTTATTGAAGGAAGATAAATATTAAGACATCTTAGATCTTTAGACACAACCCTACCATTACATTTCAGATGTCCATATGATGCCTCTTCCAATGAATGCTAATGAGTTTATTCAGAAATGTAAATTGTGTTAAGCTAGCTTGCTTTGGATTAACCCAATTATTGAAGTTCAAAGTCGATCCAATACTGCACTACAACTTCTGTAATTATTACAGTTTATGTGCTGCTATTTTTGAGTCCCAATTAAGATCACACCATTCAAACTGTACTGAATTGGTTAAAAATGTGATGCAGGGGACAACACCAGCACAAAATGACAGTTCCACAAGTTTGGTCGGATAAGTAGCATGACCTTTCACATGAACTTTAATTTGGTTTTTAAAAGTTTTATATAAGCTCTGAATGATATATTTCTCCCCCCCCCAAAAAAAATGAAAAAGGTGATGAGTCTATATTTCACAAATTCAGAAATTTAGGATTTGAAAAAATAAAAAAGTACAGAATTCAATTTTCATACAAATAATTTATAAGTTTTCAAATCTCAAAAAAAAAAAAAAAAAAAAAAAAAAAAAAACACTTGATATATTATATAATAATATTCTCATGAAGTTCTGTTCTTTTAAAAACCATAATCTAATAATTACACAAAAAATTCATTAAGGTAAAATATTTTTCATTTTAATTTATGCATATAATGTCACAAATGGGCTGTGTCAGAATACTTAAGTCTATTGGCATTTTCTAAAACACAAATTCTATATGATTCTGTGAATATGATTTCCTTTTAAGAAAAAATTCATATTGATCAATACTTTTCATGATACTCCACACAGAATTACTTGTTACATATATTATTGCTGCCTGAAATCTTTTTGTAAACTAATGTTTTAATTACATACAAATGCAAACATTTGTTCTTCAGTTTGTGCACAATCACTAAATATGATCTCAAAACTTTAAATATTTTAATAAATTTTTGTAGTACAATGGTCACATTTTTTGTATTTCATTTTTAAATTTTAGACTATCTAAACAGTAAATTTCATAAATTTTATGAAAATATAATTTTTATTTAAAAAGTGCCAATAAAAGAATAACAGCACCTCATAAAACATTTTTGAGAAAAAACATTTCTGAGAACTTACATGTCATCCCATTGGCTTTGAAACTGTTGCTAAGCAGCGTGATTTAGTACTATTTATGAATAAATGTGACACAACAACACACTCATAACATCTGCGCTTTTGTTTGATGTAAGACTGATTCTTGATATGCCACCTTTTGCTTTTATTGAATAACATTATAAATTGACTGTTATTGCCATACTTTTTCCCATTTGGAAAAAAAAAAAAAAATTATTAAATTCAGAACATGTTTTCCACAGATAACAAGCAGTGGATTTTAATGTTATGGGATCTTCCCATAAAAAAGTCTATTAATGGACACAATATGGTCAGCTGAATATGGTCAGCTGAATATGGCTGACCAAACAATAACAGATTCGAACAATTACCTGCAGGAAGTTTGTACACATAGCATTATAAGCAGAACTTCTGGAAAGATCAGAGGGATTAACAAAATAATAGAAATCAACAAAAGTCTTTTTATGAAGTGGGTTGCATATTAATTGTTTATTCAGAATCCTGTAGAATTCTGAAGAAGCATCAGCCCCTTCAGAATTCCGTAGGAAAGACTGATGCAACTTTAATGAGAATCTCTGTCAACTTTCATTGTAAATGTGATAATAATACACAAGTACCTATTTGTGTAAATACAAGCATATAATCTACAATAATCTATAGTGAAAATAAAGGCTGCATAAGTATTTTTGATTAAGAAGATATAAGAATTTTAGATTAAGAAGTTAATGAAGTAATAGTCTCCTTTTTTATATAGAAAAAGTATTTATCATAATCTGATTTATATATTTATGCAAAAAAGTTTACAAGTCAAACATGTGTGAACACTGTCAAAACAAAACATGAATTAAAATTTAAAAATTGCAATATATGTATTTACTGAAAGTTTTTTCATAGTAAATCAGTCAGTTAACTGTTACTAAAGCAAACAGGATATTAAAAGATTTTTCTGTTGCTTAGCAATGAACTTTTAATGCGAGATTATATGCAAAATTATTCAACACATTCAGAGAAAATAATTATAAGATTAAGCAAAACAAATGGAAAAAAATTAATGATAAACATACAATTTTTCTGGGCAGTTTTCTGGTTTTGACATCTTCCCACCAGATATAACAAACTGAAGAACTTGCTCATTTGCTAATCCTTGGTATGGCTGAGAAGCTAAAGTTGCCATTTCCCACAAAACAACACCGTAAGACCTACAAGAAAAATGTTTTCATTATTTTCTTAAATTTTTATTCCCAGCAAAGAAAAGAATTCCAAGCATCTGAACTAACTAATCATACCTCATCTGCTTTTTTAAAAAAGCAGATAATTAAATAGAAAGAGAAATTTAAAACTTAAAATCAAGTAAAATATGAACTATATTTCGAGGACAATCAGACTATAGTCCTTCTTCTTCAGGAGTAAAAAGCTTCAGTATACCTAGGTAAAAAAATAGAATTCTGGAGGGGAGGGGTTGAAGTAGACAGAGTTTCGTCTTATTGCCCTTGAAACTGATACAGTTTTATTTAAAATCTACGACAAAATAAGTCTGCTGTTTTGCCTTATTTATTAATCTACAGATAATTAAATTCTCCAGTGCTCCAGTATGATGTATTTACCCCAATGAAAGAAATTAAGAAAGAAAATATTTTCTTTTTTTTTTTCTTTTTTCCATTTCTGTAAAGATTATACAGTAAAAAAGAGAAGAATATTCTTATTATTATACAGCAAAACACAGGACACACAGTCTTTTTCAAATTAAACAATGAAACTGCTTTACATCTGCCTAAACATATACTTGATTTCTGTTACAACTAAATTAATAATAATAAAAAAAAAAATGTGTAAGCCTGAAAGTTAAATTAAGAATACTCTTTTGTTTTTAACACACTAAAATTAAACAAATAAGTTAGCTTTATACCTAAGGAGAAACATGTACAAACAACTGCCACTCAACTAAATTTAAAAAACTGTATCTTTTAGAATAATAATAAAATTAACAACATATTATTCTAATCAGAATAATGAAAGTTAATGGGAAAATTTTATTATAGGTTGCATATTCTTTTAACACATATATCATTCTAATGCCAGATACATTCATCTATATAAATGGAATAACTATAAAAAATCTGCTATTCTGTATATTATCTTTTCATGTGATTTAACTGACAAAAACATGAATACAGGTTAATAAATTAACTACATACTTAGTTTTACTTGGCTTAAAAACAACAATAAAATTTCCAAACAACTTCTAAAATTTCCATCCAGCTGACTGGTTTTGAATATGAAGAAATTCTATTATACATATTTTAAAACTATAATTTTACAAAAGAGTTAAAATACAGAAATATACTGTAGGAATAATTTCTGGAAATTATGTTTTCAAAATATGGATCATATAGAAACCTAAGCCATATTTAAGAATCTTTTAATATAAAATTCTTTCTAGTTTCTTCATATTTTCAAATTCTTTCTAGTTTCTTTATATTTAAGCTTATAAAATAAATTACACTTTTTTTTCAAGTGCTATAATATTAAATTTACAATATAAGTTTTAAACTCTTGATGCATTATAGTATTATTTACTTTAAATGCACTTATCCTTTTGATGTCTCTTACAAACTCATATAAAGAAAAAGAAATTTTAAACTTTTACATAAGTGCCAAATACTTGAAATTATTACATACTGTTACTTTCTTCTATATCACTGCATGACATAAAGAAAGAGTTGCATAGTTAACATGTAGGAAGCATTTAATGGTCAAGTGAAATTATGCTTGTTCGTCAAAATTCTTCTATGATAAATTCATTGTTGAGAGAGATGAAAGGAAATTTCAGTACATAAATATGCTTTTTAATATGAAGTACATATATGCCTTCTAAATTTTTCTATAATACATTAAGTTACATTTCTATAATATTCAATTATATACTTAATAATTGGAGCAATTACATCAAAACTCGCAATGTTTATTCATATCCCTTCTTCCGAAAAAATATCTTCAACAGTTCTCCAAAGTATCAAAGGCCTTTTAATTTAAGAAAAAATGTATTCCAAACAAGATTTAATAATGCAACTAAACACTTGGCTAATTTATAAAATAGCTAATGATTTGCCATTTAATTTTAAAAGGACTCCAATTCTATAAATTTCAAATGACCTTGGCATATGAAAACCTGCTCTAATTTTCATTTTTTAAATGTCATTCAACACTAAGAAATCCAATATTTAATCATTTCCCTACTTTGAATTTTCAAATCATGACTATCTTTCGCCTTTAACACAGTTAAATTAATGCATTTCTCCCTATATCTTCAAATTAAAATAACTCTGGAATGAAAAGACTAGAGAAACAGGTTTCCTTATTAACAAGTACCATAAACTCAATATTCTTTACCATTTTGATGAATTAAAATGAACAACTCAAACTTTTCAACTACTTGACTATGTGCACTTAAACTAGATATGTCTATTTTTTGACCAAGTGGAAATATGCACACAAGTTATTTTAACACAATTTGTACAAGCATCTGAAATAATAACGTATATTCGCAGAAAACTTTTCACAATCAATGATTAGTATTAAGATATAAATATCTAAAAAGGTACCAAGCTATAAATATATAAAATGCGATAAGTATGCATGCAAACAAGAGTTAAATGGTTTACAATAACAAAAATGAGATTACATCATTTAAATGTATCAACAATTTGCCATATCCTTACAACAAAAATTTAAACATAACCAAGAAATAAAACAATCTTCAAAATATTTTATAGTACGCAAATAAGAAATTTTCAATACATTTTTTTAATCAGCATACATCTGTAAGTTATTCCAAAAACATTTCTGGATTAATATGTAGATCCTAAAGCGAATGAATTTATTTTCTCTCTTCCTTATTTTAAAAGGCTATTTCTATAATACATCTTAACATTTAGTAAAATAATTTACAGTATATTATATACTTATATGTAGTAACTTGCATTTTAATACCTTGTTTACCACTCTGTTGAGTGCATTTGATCTGCTAGGCACAGTTCGAGCACTTTCGTTTGCCCCGCCTCCTTTAAACATCATCACTCCTTCTCCATTCATTTAGCTTTCCTCCTTTAGTGCCACTGGCAGTTGTAAGGCTACTCAGTAAATGTATTTCTTCACCTCCAGTTCAGAGATGAAATGACCTAACAGGCTCATTGTGCCTGATTACGTTGCAATTTGACAAGTAATGTTTCTGTGAGTTTTTAATACTGTATCATATTTTTTGGTTAACAACTTCATATAATAAAATAGTTTATGATTATCTACAAAACTGAGAGTTTTGGGGCTCTGGCTTTTCCATGACATTGTACCTGATCATGTCTTGAATTGTAGAATGGTTTAATAATTTAAAATATTGCTTATTACAAAATTTGACAAAGACATTTTCGTCACAACATTATAAATATTTGTTTGATTCAGGCTTCAAAATGCTCCCCCCTCCAAAAATTTTGATTTGAGACACCGTTAAGACCTTGAAGAAATTCACTGTTTATAGGAGGCATCAGATGAAGACCATGAGGATGTCAAAGATGAAAATTTTGATGTCGAAAGCTATTTTGAGTCAGAAGATGGTGTTGAGGAACATGAAGGGGGATCAGAGAAAGAACAAGAGGGATGTGAAGAAGACGACATTGAAGAAAATACTGACTTTTATTTGGGGCAAAGCAAGACCACAACATTCCAATAATTTTGCCTTCAGTAGTGATGGTAATGTTTTGGTGGCTTACGTTCCAAAAAAACACAAAAATGTCCTTCTTGTATCCTCATTGCATGATGACAAGCTATTGATCTTTCTACTGCGAAAAAAAGAAACCATAAATAATCAGCTTTTATAATGAAACTAAGTTAGGGGTAGATATTGTAGATAAAATGTACTGTTCATATAGTGTGTCTCAGAATGTAAAACGGTGGCCCATGGTAATCCTTTTTACAATGTCAAACATTGCTTCAATCAATTCTCAGATCATACATGTAGGTAATGGGCACACACCTCTTAAAAAAAGGTTGTTCATAAAACAACTGTCCAATGAACTTGCACTTGGAAAACTTGTTCAACAAAGTCTGAAGTCTATTGGGATGCCATAACACTTAGAATGAAAATTACAGTGATACACCCCCAAACAAGAACAACAACCTCAAAATTATGATGAGCCACAGATACCTCGAAAAGGACGCAAATCTGAAACATGCTATTTGGAGACTCATAAGAGAAGATTACACTAATGTGAGTGCAAAAAGTGTCACACAGCAATTTGCCTCTCATATGCTGTTTCATGTGTCCTCTGTGCTGTAAGAGAGAAGTAGGAGGATAGATACCTCCTAATGAATCAGATGAATGAGAGATCATACTTATGATTTAGTTTTAAGTAAATTAAAATCTATAATTAGTATTATACCACAACTTTATAAAAATTGCTTTATTGTCCCTTAAGTATTTTTATAACTTGTGGAAGTTTAATAATAATGAATAGCATTTGATTTTTGTATGAAAAAACTGTTTCTGTAAAATCAGCTTAGTAAATCAAGAAGTGCCTCTTAAGCTCAATGCACCTGAATGCATACCAAAACATACTGCGTCCAACAGACAACAGAGTGTTAAATGAAGGCAAAATTTAATAATTCAAATAAACTGTTATAGTTCAACCATCTCAAACGCAACCTTGGTTGGCATTCTGCCAAAACACATACTTGCCCAAGAGAGTATTATTACTTGCTGTGACGTGAAAGGTCACACAAAGTCTTTTGTTTCTGGAAAGAGAAAATTTATATGCTCGAGGGGAAGAAAAGACTCCATCCTTCCACCCTGTTTTGTGGATAATTCGGTCTGGATGGTGCATGCATGTTTGCGCTCATGGCCGTGGATGAGACGGTTGAACTATACAATTATTATTATATAAAAAGCTGCAAAATGTTAGAGTAGTTATACCATATGTCGGACTGTGAGCTAAATAAGCCATCTTTTAGGCATTCTGGAGCCATCCAACGCACAGGCAGCAGGCCCTTTCCACCTTTACGGTAATAGTCTGTCTCGTATATATCTCGAGTCATACCAAAATCTCCAATTTTTACTGTAAGGTCATCAGAAACCATACAGTTGCGAGCTGCAAGATCCCTGTGAACAAACTTTTTGGCAGCTAAATATGCCATTCCATCTGCAATTTCTACAGCCATCTGCAAAATTTCTTTTAAAGTAGGTGGTTGAACATTAGGATTACCAATGTTTTCCTGTGAGGAAAGAAAAAACTATTATTTAAATGCATCTAAATCATTACTGAAGTTATAATAAATTTATTTGCAACTTTTATTTAGATAAAATGTTATTAAATAATTTTGATACATTAACATAAAATATTTTGTATTTTAAGCTCAAATATTTTAATAGGAAACAGAAAAATGACACAGTCAAATTTTAGTGATGACACAGCTTTATTTGCACTCTCAGTGATTATTTGTTAGTTATTAGTTCAGATATTGCATTTAACTTTTTTTCTACTTATTTACAATTAGAACATACACTTATGCTGTCAAAAATGCATCAGCTTTTTTGAGGACACCTGTGAAGATATAACTACTAGTTATAATGCAATTTTTCATTCCAGGTTAAATCATTAAGTAAATATGACAATATTATGAAAGAAGTTTTTGAAATATTTCAGCAGAATGAATTAATTCAATGTGCCGGTCATAATTTAGAACAAATTTTGGTGAACTAGATAAATTCAAATGAATCTCCCTTTTATTCTTTATTATTAGACATTATTGAAGATATATTAAATACGGATCAAATGACAGTCATTTTAAGACAAGCTTATACTGCATGAGATAATTCAAAATCCATAAATTTTATAACTAAAGAAAAATTTCTTGGATTTTATGCTGTAAAAAATCATTTTCCTAAAGGACAGAGCTCATTCTCAATTTCTTGAAAGACCAAGAAATTTCATTTAAAACATGGACATGACAACATTTGTGTTACAAGTGTTTATAATGGCTTCCAGCAAAAGATAGAAACTATTCAGGCAAATGCAAAATATGTATACTGCTAGTCTCACAACATTACTAACTGTACAGAAATTGTAAATCACTAATTTTAAATCAAAATTGTAAAGAAATTACATAATCCTTTTGCTATATTATAAAATATATATATGCTCTGTAGGAAAACTATAAACTGACAGAATTTGTTAAAAAATTTTACAGCTTAATCAGAAACATCTTTATGAAAAAAAATTAAAGACTCGTTTATCAGGTACAATTACCCTGATAAATGCAGCAAAATTACACCATGGGGATATTCTGAAAGTTTTTAACTAAGTCCACCTTAAAAGCAATAAGAAACAGGAATGGGAAGAAGCACTGCAGATAAAAAAAGAAAACAGCAAATTTTGAATTTAACATTATTTATATATTTATGCATTTAATATTAAATGAAAAAAATTACACTTTAAAAAATATTACAGAAAATTAATATATGTCTAGATGAAGCTACACTATGTTTAAACACATACTTTTACACATTGCAAAGTGTGACGGTTAAGGTTAGTTTACACCTGTCAGAGCAGTTCGGAGCGAGCTGCTCGTTACGATTACTTTGACAATGCAAACGCTCACTTCGACGGAGTAGAAACATAGGGGAGATGAGTCAGCACTTCCGTTTCTACTTGTTGAACCTGTTGAAAAATCTATCCGGGCAGTTACTCTGAGCAGCATTCGCAGGGACGTCGTGACAGTGAGTTCTATAATGCCGAGATTGAGTGATAGTCAGACCCATAGCCTTTTTTAATGCATATGCATCTTGTGAAGTGTTTTAGGGAACACTTCACTGCTTCATTTAGAAGTTGCATACTTCTATAATTATGTGAGCTTGTATTCATTTTTCTACAAGCATCCCTACATGAGGATGCAATAATATATGATATAAACTATAAAATTAAAAATGAAATTATGAAAAAATATGTAGATCTGTTTTATTGGGGATATTTAAATTTGTTACTTTGTATAAAAACATTCTGGGCTATAATTTGTTACAATTCAGCTTGGATGTGAAACACTGAGTGCAAGTACTTAAGTTGTATTAAGGTTTATACAAATTATGCTAGATGAATTCTAATCTTCTTAAACTATCCGTTTTAGAATTTTAAAAGTAATGTATAATCACTATATTTAATCATTATTAATTTTGTTGATATCACTTTGTGTGTTGTCCAGAAAAACAATTTCAGTAGGATCCAAAAGTAACAATCTGCGATAAATATCTTCCTGTTTGAGCTAAGTCATAATATATATATTCTTTTACCTGTGATAATATATGCAATGCTCCCAAGTTTTTTGCTACTTCTTATTTATTTAGGAGTTTCTGAATAATTAGGTAGATATTACACAGTTTACTTCTGTCGTATTAATGGTACCTTTTAAACTTTTGAAGACAGGATGGCCATTATAGTGGCCATAGAGTCCTCTTTTGAAAAGATGGGGTTGTCCACTTTAGTGGCCATGTCTTTTTCCCCCATTTTCCAGACTGAAAAGTGGGGTGAAATGTCAAACTTGACGTCCCTGGGGTTTTAACAACTTATCTCTTTCAAAGGTCTTCCTTTTGCGACATAGGTGCACCCCTCTGAGAATCCATTAAACTACACACAAGAATCTTTGTTGCAAACAGGAGGTGATTTCTTAAAGGGGGGAAAGCATTCGGTTCAAGATTCCCCGTCCTTTGGCAGCTTTTACTGCTACCAAAGCCTCGGCCTCAAAAGGTTAATAAATATTCCATGTGTTAATTTTGCATTCTTCTCTAGAAATAACACAGTTCCAGTAGAACTCTGCATAATTAATTACATGCACAGAGAGCTACCGATTTTGTGGATTCTGGGTGAATAAATATATTCTTTCTATAAATAAATAATAAAACACATTATTACTTTTACATTATTTTGTAAATGATTAATTAGGTGTAAATAAACAATTGTATATAGTAGCAAAACTTTGTTAATTTGAATTTCAATAACCACAATTGACTAAATAACTTACCTCAATAAACTGAGTTTCTTTTAAATCGATTGACTTTTAACTTTCCTCAACAAACTGAATTTCTTTTAAATCAATTAATGAATATATTTTGAAAGTGAATAAATTTCAATTTCATTTACAGAATATATTTTAAGTTTTTTATCTGATATACAATAACGTTTTTGTAACTTTGGACATCCTCATCCCGAAATTCATTTAATAGTTGATTTGATACTCCTAATTCATAACGGCAAGCTACTCAGTCACGTACCCATTTCCTTTTCTTCTCCCAAGAGCAGAAATTAATTTGTTTGAAACTGCTTCACAGACTTCAAGCACTGCAGCCAAAGAACATATATGTATATTCAATGCATATTCTTTGCTGCAACTGCCACGTGGGTATCCATTTTGTAAACAAACAGAGTTGTCAGTCCACTTTGATTGGTGTAAACAATCTATCAGAGACAGATCTGGCAGATGTAAACTGGCCTTTATCCACAGGGAATTTTTTGAAGAAACATTTTGAAATAAGAGATGCTTTAATGTTTTTAAACCAACATCTCCCTATAGATAAAGATGCGATGTTTGGATTTAAAGATTGTGATGCTAATTGGTTGATGAAATTATCATACCTTTGTGATATTTTTACTTTTTAAATAAATTAAATCTTTGTTACAAGTAAAGAATGTAACTGTATTTAAAGTACAAGAAAAGATGAAAGCTGCAATGAAAAAGCTGAGTTTCTCTGCATGGAAACGAGAACTTTTAATGTTTTTAGGATGCGACCTGAAGCACAAAAGGTAATACAATATCAGTTCCACACCTGATGAAATTTCAGTTTCTATCAAGAAAAATCTTAACAAGACTGCAGACAAATCTGAAATAGTGTTTTTCTCCAATTCATAGCAACAAACATGGATAAGAAACCCTTTCTAACTATATAATATAGAACTAGAGATGAAGTTATTGGATTATTAGATTCAGATATTGAATCCATAATTGAACTGGCTCATGATACAGTACTTAAAGACAGCTTTCAAAAATATCTATCCAAAATATCTAATTCCATTTGTTACAACTTTGAAAATATGAAATTGCCTTTTAAACACTTTTTTTTTCTTTCAAATAAATATAAAAACTGATTAGATGTCCAGATTTAAGAATAAAGTTGTCATCTTTTTTTGAAAGCCTGAAAGTTCTAGTTAACAAGAAACAAAGTTCCCATTATAAGTTTTTCTTGTTCCATGTTTTCGTATGCACTTTTGTCACTTATATATAAAAAATATTCGAACATTAACATTTTTTTAATATACCAATAAGCCACAAATATTTTAACTGGATCATTAATGAAAAATAGTAGCACATATAGGCAACAAAAAAGTTTGAGAAATATTGCTTTAAATTATTTATTAGAAAATTTAAATAGTTCAATTATCAGTATTCAATGTTACACATCAGTTTATCAGTACTCAGTTCTTACTTCATTGTCTGGACGGCGAGAACGGAGATATGCCTTTAAATCTCCTTTGCCCATCAGTTCCATAACAACCAATGTAGGATGACCTTTAGAAACAACTCCAAGCAGTTTTACTACATGGTGACAGTTAAAAGCTCTGAAAGAGTAATGCAGCATTTCAAGAAACAAATATTAAACTATCGTTTAATTAATTACTTTTCCATTCACTTAAAAGCAAATAACCAAAATACATAAAATATATCTAAATGCATTAAAACAAAAAATTTTAATAACGCAAGAGGGAAAAAAATGTGTTGATTTACCACAACAGCAATTTTTGAAAACTAACATAAAAAATAAGATAAATTATGCAAAATAACTGCAAACAACACACTAAAATGCAGCCTTCAAAAGGAAAAATTATACAATTCAGATATTATATTAAGTGTTTATAAACTTGAAGAATTATTCAAATTTACTAATTTAACTACTCATAAGAAAGCCACTAATTAAAGAAGCATAAAGTTTGTGTCTGAATAAAAGAGCTCAGATTAAGAAAATACTAAAAAATATGCAATACCTTAAAAAAAAAAAAAAAAAAAAAAAAAAAAAAGAAAAAAAAGAAGATTTCAGATTTTAAATTAAGTTCAATGGGCCATTTTTTTTTAACGTTTTGTGTGTTACTTTTATTTATTAAACATCATGTTCTTTGCACTTAAAACATAAAATTAAGTTCAACAATGTCGCAAAATAATTAAAAAATGAGCATATCTTTAGAATTTCTGATACACAGTTCTGCATGCTAGAGATAAAAAGGTTGAGTCCCCAGACCCAGGTGTTGTGACTGATAAGGAACGCGTTGATGAGATATGCTAGGTGATGCCAAACAATGCATCAGGTGAAATCGAGTTTTTTTTTGTCTAAAAAATATTAAAATGTATGAAATTCATAAAAAAAGGTTTAAAAAAAGGGGGAGGTAATTTTAATAAAGCTGCATGATCTAGAGTCCACAGATGTATTTTTTACAGAATCTTTTGGAACAAATTACCCAAGAAAGTGAAAACAGAAAAATAAACATTTTTTTTTTTTTTTCTGTTTCTATGTTGAAGTGCTTGACAGGCTTTCTGCTTTATGGTGGCTTTCTCTGTCTTCCTCAAAGACTTAACTGGTCACTTGCTGAAGATGTCAGCCATCCATTACTATGCACAGCAATGATATGTTCTACATAAACTAATGTTAAGCAGAACTTGCATTTAGCTGAAAATAATGCATTGGATAAAAATGAAAAACTTGTCTAATATCTGTATCTCTTAAAATATAGTAAATGCCAATTTAATGCAGTATGAGGTTTTTTTCAACACATATGGAAAAATGACATCTTATTTTGGTAGATATTCATGTAACATGTTTTTCAAAGGAAAACCTGTTCATTTTGGGTACAAAGTTTGATGTCTGTGTTCCTCTGAAAAGTCCATCATTCTAATATACATCCTGTAAGATCTGCAAAGAAATCAACTGATTTTTGATTAGGTGGAGATGCTGTAACACATTGTTTAAGCGTGGTGGAACTTTTTTCAAATCATTGCGTATATTATTTTCACAACTTTTTTATGTCACACGTTAATTGTCAGAATTAAATTCACTGTGATTTCTTGCCACTGTAACTATTTGTGAGAACAGATTTGGAAATTGTTCTATTATGCCTGTAAACAAAGTGATAATAAAAGAATGCTGAACATATGACTTCAGATTGGATAAGAAGCATGATATAACAGTAGTTCAGTGGAATGACAATTCTGTAGTAACTATGGCAACTAACTTTGATACAACTGATATGACTTCAATAACAAAAATATACTCAAGAAAAGAAATCCATATCTGAAAACTAAACTTATCCAGAATTAGAACAAATATATGGGTAGCATTGACTCTCTGGACAATTTTGTTACACTGTATATAGAATGCATGGAAATTTTATAATATTGCTCTAGACCCCAAAAATCTCTGGTTATATTTTCAAAGAAGTACAGCACTGGCATTGCTGATAACAAGGTAAGAAAGAATACTCTAAAAATTTGCAGCCTTCATCTTCATATTCATTGTGTTAGCCAACCATCTTTTCTCAGAATTACCCTTAAGTAAAACGAGAAAGGATCCTACAAATCACATTATTGAGGAAAAAATCAAAAAAAAAAAAAAAAAGTACTTAATGGTTTTATATTTTAAATTACGTCCAAAGGGTTTTTTTTAAAAACATTTTGTGTGTTACATTTATTTATTAAATATCACGTTCTTCGCATTTAAAACATAAAATTAAGTTCAAGAGCAATATCACAAAATAGTTTTAAATTGAGTATAACTTTAGAATTTCCGATACAGAGTTTTGCGCGCTGGAGATAAAAATGTTTTCTGTACTCGCTTTGAAATCCTCGAGTTTGTTAATTAAAAATTCATCAAAGTTTTACAAAATATGAAATCGTTAATAAAACAAATTCCAAATTTCAAATTTGGGCTTCCACATGCCCATATTTGCAGTAGGATTACGTCATTCAAAATTCGATGGCTCTATGTACCATCGTTTTATCACAATGCGAGAAATATACATACATTTATGCAGATTTTTCATTATTTAATTTCTTCAAATATAATGCAGGACTCTAACATTTTGGTGGCAACAGTTTGAAAAGTGAAACGGACATTTATAGTGAACCAAAGCAAAATCGCAAAACGAAAACAATAGTCCTTCAGAGACAAAGCCCCTTTAGACTAAAAAGATGCAAATACTTATGATAGTCAAATGATAACTGTTGCTAATAAATGTAATGTGCCTTTGTAGAGAAAATTTTTCAAAGATTTCCATGGATTCCCAGTTGACCGATGATTCATTTTCACAACATATTGTATGTGCAATAAAAAAAAAATATTTATTATTATTATATTTTTTCTCTTAGACTCCAATACATCAATTTATACAATTAATAACTTTAATACAATGAATACTCTAATATGTACTCTAGTGTAATTACTCTAATATGATTTTCATTCATTTCCTTCAAGTGAAAGTTAGGGTGGTTGTTAATGGGTTAATAGATTATAATCCACCCAATCAATAAGTTAATTCTTTCTTTAATTGTAAATTTAGTATACGAAATACACATAAATAAAAATTTCAGTAAGTTCACAGCCATCATATTACACAAAAGACAGCATAAAAATCTAATCCAGACAAAAAATATTGTGATATTATATAATATTTCTGAATGGTTTTTCAGCTTCAATTTAGAATAAATGTGATGCCAACATGACCATAAATAATACACTGACTACCAATAAGTATTTGGATACCTATGCAAATGACGATATCGGCGGTCCTAAGGTACGTCACGGACTCCGCCGGTATATATCGTGTAGGAAACAGCATCGGCTTTAGTCGCATGCAAGATGCCTCGCAGTTCGGAGCTCTCTGATTTCGAGAAAGGTATAATTATCGGGTATCACAAATGTGGCCGATCCTTAAGGGACATATCTAGCGATCTCAAAATTGACAGTACTCAAAATTGACAGTGGCCTATGTGATTAAGAAGTGGAAGGTAAGCAGTGATTGTTGGAATGTGCCCCGAGTCGGCAGACCAACGAAACTGGGAGATAGAGACCGACGAGTGCTGTCCAGAGAAATTCGGAAGAACCGCACCCAACCGATGGCCCTCATCCGTGAGGAGTTTCAACAGGCATCCAGGATTATTGTTTCAATGAATACTATCCGTAAGGAAGCACATCTGCTTGGTTTTCATGGTCGTGCTGCTGCCCATAAGCCTTTGATCACAAAGTCCAACTGCGCTGCTCGGTTAATGTGGTGCAAAGCACGTCGAAATTGGACCGTAGATCAGTGGAAACGGGTTCTTTGGAGTGACGAATCAAGGTTCACCCTTTACCGTTCGGATGGCAGAGTCTGGGTCTGGCGTCTACCTGGAGAACGTCTCCTGCCAGAATGCATCGGGCCAACAGCCAAGTTCGGCGGAGGTCGAATTATGGTCTGGGGGTGTTTCTCCTGGTATGGGCTGGGTCCCTTGGTCCCCATTCATGGTAAGCTCAACTACGATGCCTACTGAACTATTTTGGATGACAATGTGCTTCCTACGTTGTGGCAGTTTTACGGGTTGGACCCCTGTTACTTTCAGGACGACAATGCCAGTTGTCATGTTTCGACGTTAACCAAGGCTTGGTATGGTGAAAAATGGAGTTCATCGAATGAGGCCTGCCCAGAGTCCAGACCTGAACCCTATTGAGAACCTCTGGGACGAGTTGCATCGCCGAATTCATTGGTGCACTACCCGTGCAAAATCGGTGAAGGAACTTCTATGTCTTCTCCAAGCCGAGTGGAAGAAAATACCACTAGCTATCATACAAAGACTTGTGGAAAGTATGCCCCGGAGGGTCCAGGCTGCAATTACCTCTCGTGGAGGCTCTACCAACTATTGATTTTGAATAAAGTTAGTTTTTCTTTTCTATCACAGGTGTCCAAATACTTATTGGTAGTCAGTGTAGCATAAAATGAATATTGAGATATTTTCTTGAATTTGGACTGCCAGATACCTAGCCATCCACATGTGAATTAGACAAAATATGAGCTTGTTTTCATTTGTATTAACAGAAACCTAAAAATTAAATATTACTATAGTCCAATTCTGATAGCCAATTTATTACCTCCTCTTTCTTTAATCTTTAAAAACAATTCTAACTGTAAATGCTAGAACCTAAATTTAAAAAATGTAAATGAACAACCAAAATACATACTTCATTACTGATGCTTCTTGTAAAAATTCAATCCTTTCCCGCAAAGATGCTGATTCGTTGACAGTCTGTAAATAAAACAAAATTAATAATGCATATTCATACACACAAACAAAAAAGATATCATCCACGTTTTTTTCCGTTTTAAAAATATTAACCTCTACTCAAAATAATAATCTTTACAGCTATATCAAAAAATAATTTTTTATCCAGCATTTTCTTCAAAGCACACCACAGAGAAAAGGAGAAAAGAACTGTAATATGATAACAGAAAATAATGTACTAGCTAAAGGGCAGCTGTAATGATATATGGCATAATGATGCATGACTGTAATGATAATGGGCAACTGTAATGATATAACTGTAATCAATACAGTTTCATAGAGATCAAATATATAAAATTAATACTAATAACTTCATGGTTTCACCCGAGACAAGACTCACTCATTCGAAAAGTTTCTTTAGAAGCTTTGAAGTCTAAATATATATATATAGGCATTTCTGTAGCAGAGTGGTAAGGTTGAATCCAATGATGACAAAAAATGATTTATCTTTTAATTACACATCTTTATTCCATTCGAATGGCAGATTTCAGATTAACTTCTCCAAACTACATATTCAATAGTAATTTAAACTAAGTACTATGAATTTTGACTTTCTGCGTTATAACTTTTTCTAACAAAGGAAAGATGGCATAAGCAGCAGCGAGGTGCATAGCGCAAGCAGAGAGGAAGCTTCTTCTGCATCGCAAAATGGCATGAGCTCGTTATTTATACGAGTTGTTATGTAACAGACTAGAGAATTCTGGAAGGTACTGTTCAAGGGGGAAGATCCTAAAAAATTATGGAAAGTCACTTAGAGGTTGCGTGTTCGCATAGAGCAAAGCCATCGTATTTTTTATATTTTACATATGGATGATTTAACAATAAAAAAAAATTTTACCCACTCTTTATTTATCAAAATTACAGGCACCTTTTCAAAAATTATTTAATTCTAACAACTTTTATAACAGTCTTCTTATATGGTTGCATGCCTGTTATAATAAATTTCCTTTACTTCTCAATAATTACTTTCTACTGCAGTACACAGATCCTTAAAGACTTAGTTCCTGATTTTTGTAAATTCAGACTCTCTAACACAAATAATCCACAAAGAAAAACTTACTTTAAAGTTAGTTATATGCATCTTAAATTTGACAAATTCAACTTCTCTACGATTCTTAATAAATGTAAAATTTCCCCCAGCGATTAACACCAGACCTTTTGTTGCATTTAAATTTCAAAGAACTTTAAGCAGTCTGCTTACTAATAACCATGAACTAGATGATTCTGCAGAATGTCTTTGCAAATAGCCACAATTCATTCTTTACATAGATTCTCACCACCAGCACATAGTTACTGGTAATTTGGATATCGTTCAAGGCCCACAGCTTAAAAACTCATGAATTTTGGATCTAATTACATACCAGTTAGATAAACAAACAAAAAGTTTTTCTTCAAAGACACTGAAAACAGCATCAATGAACTTATAGTGAAAGCAAGCTCTTTATTTTGTTTACCTCTTACTATCTTTTTGAAATGGAAGACAAATTCATATCCAAATTCGTAACATAAAATTTCGCAGCAATTTAAATTAGACTCAGTTACTTTCTAGTATTACTACTTTAAAAGTACTTTACAGTCACTAAAATTGATAAAGCAAGTTATAACTTTACCTTAATTTGAAAAATTTACAACAAACAAAAAATTAACACAGAACTTTTCAAATTAGATACTTGTCTTCTTATACAATATAGGTCCCAGTTATCAACAAAATTAATAAAAGACAAAAAAAATTCTATTGAAGATACAACAGATTTGCCAACCTTTATGCTCTACCCAAGTTCCATAAAATATTAATTAACTTCAGATTCATTACAAATAGCACAAATAATTACAAGAAAAATATTAACTTTTTTTTTTTTTTTTTTTCCACTACAGTTTAAAAAAATTGTAGATCTTGTAACACAGAACATAACTTCTGCTGGATTATCAATAACAACATCATTGTAATTAAGAATTTACAAATTAATGAAGTACAAAATATCAACTGCTATGTGTTCGAGAATTTATATATACTTCGCTACCATTAGAAAGAATCCACACTAGCCTACTTAATCTTCCAACCCATTTTTTTCTTTGAAACTTTCAATCATTGACTTTAATAGATGGAAAACATACCTTAAATGCACTGTTTTTAATAACTTTGTTAAAATTGAAAATCAACTTTTTTCACAGGTCAAGGGAATCCCAATGGCAGCACTTACCTCCACTAGACTGTGCAATCTTTTTCTATTTACCAAAGAATCTGAGTACTCAAAAATCTTTGTAACAAGAAGAGTGAACTTTACTATGCTCATATATACAGATATATCGATGATCTATTTACCATTAATAATTTTGAAAAAGTAGAGAATTTCCATATATATTCAAATTAGAAACTAATTCCTTGCAAAAAATAGTTGACTATTTAGATTTTCAAATTGTTAACTACATTAAAATAAAATTTTTGACAAAACAAAAAACATTAATTTTACTACAAATAAATTAACAAACTGGACTTTTAACATTTTCAGAAAAATGATTAATAAAGCTATAATTAATCATATGCAACACATTAAAATATTTGTACAGATAGACTAGATAATCAACATGCTTCTTATAAAAATTCTTCATACTAATCTTTTATCAAATCAAGTTATTAACTTCAGTCTTAAAAAAGCAGGCATTAAATACTCTGTCTAATCTTGTTACTGAAAGGGTTATGATATTTTTCTAAACCGCCTAAGCGAATTATGTTGGATGTCTCTCATTTTAAGGATTTTTAAATTTTGTAATTATACAGGTAATTATTTTATATTTTGTAATATACAGCAGCTTCTAGCTATTTTCCCTTTAATTAACAAGAGTCTTGTCTACTGCCTGTCACAAGTGAAGATCTTCTTCCTTTCTCTGTACATTTCAGACCTTTAGCCAGAAATAAATTAATTTCTATTGTTTGTAAGTTTCAAAATAATTTCTCTATAAGAGTATTAACACCTTGGCAATTTTACTAAGCTAAAGTTTCAAACTCATTTCTCTATAGAAATATTAACACCTTGGCAATTTTACTAAGCTAGCACTTTCTGTCGCCAAGCTCTAAGAATACAGCTCTGACTTTTCCCACCTTATAAAAATAACATTTGACTCATCTAACTTCTCCTTAACATGACAACCCTAGATGCATTCCAAAGTATTAGCCATTTCATTCGTTTACACTTCTCAAACATTTCTGGCCTTTTTTAATGCATATTCTTGAGTATATGACTTATTAAGTGGTTATGGCGGGGAATGATGGATTTGCTAGTATATTACCATGTTTACTTTAATAATTCGTTTAGAATTCATTTGATTTGTCTTTTGAATCTAATAACCATGTGCTTGATAGCCATTTTTCTTTAATTGTAACTTGACTCAATTTTGGCTCAAGCTCTTTAAAAAAATGATGTCCATAAAAAGATTTCTGAGCAATGAATATAGATTAGAAAGAAATCCAAAACATCAAGAAATAGAGTTCATAGGCACATACTTAAAACTGAATCATATGGAAATTTTACTATCCTTACTATCCCATGAAAGAAAAGAAATATTAAATAAAACAAATTAGCTGCCTCATCAGTTTGTAATAAAAGAGAATAGTACAACAACTGCTCTTAAAGTTGTTTTTGATAGTTCTATGGTAACATCATCAGCTATATCACTCAATGATAAACAAATGGGGTCTAATTTGCAAGATGATATCTTTGACATTTTGATCTGATTCTGTTGTCACAAACATGCCATTCATACAAATATCATGAAGTATTTGAGTCCAATGTTGATTTACAAAGAATAGTATGGAGAAAGTCTTCTAATGATAAAGTGGAAGAATATTGTTTAAAAACTGCTACTTATGGTACCTCCTCCAAATTTAGCCATAAAAGCTCTTTAACAACTTTCTCACAAGATACAAAATTTCCATTGGCTAAAGATATTCTAAGATAGATGATTTACTCAGTGGGACTAAGTTCACGGCTTCCAGACTACAGTAAGAATTAATTTTACCTCTTGATTCTGGTGAATTCTAGAAAATGGGCATCAAATGAACCAAAATTATTGGATTCTTTATCTGGAGGTTACACCGAAACTAAAAGCAAAAGCTCACTTGCTATTGATACAGATAATTCAATAAAAACTTTAGGAATGCACTGGTATGCAGCATTTGATTATTTCTCTTTTTAAGGTCTGCCTTCCCACAAACTGAAAATATAACTAAACGAAAAATAATTTCAGAAGTTGTAAAACTGTATGCCTTTCTTGGTCTTGAGACTAATTATTTCTTTAGCTAAATTAATCATCCAGAAACTTTGGATTACTAGACTGCATGAAGAGCTTTCTGATTAGTTCATATCAGAATATCTACACTTTAGAAAGGCATTTTTTTATCTTGAAAGAAATAATTGATAATTTTGCTCCCATTCAGCTCTATGGAGTTTGAGAGGCATATGAAAGGGCTTATAGAGCTGCCGCATATTTATGATGTCAAAATGAAATGGAGAAACAAGTGTCCTGCTTTTGACATGAAAAAGCCATATTTCACCATTAAAACAAGTGTCATTACTTCACTTAGAATTATGTGGAGCTGTTCTATTGGTCAAATTGCTAAACGAGGTTCAGAAAACTCTAAATATGAATATCAGTTCAGTCTATGCTTATATAGATTAATCAATAGTCCTGTCATGCACTGAAGGCTTGCTGAGAAAATGGAAGACTTCTGTGGCCAATTGAGTCTCACAAATTCAAGATCTCATACCTACTCATTGCTGGAATCATGTTCCTTTAGATTAAATCCTGCTGAAGTGATTTCTAGAGTTTCCTTAACTTCAGAATTATTGCAAACTTTCTTTTGGTTCAACGGTCCAAGTTGGTAGAGAATGCCCAAAGAATACTGGCCAAGGCAAAAGATCAAGACATCTCTGATATGAAGATAAATGAAGAAAGAAAATTGAAAT